TGTATGTATGATATACCAAGGTGGGTATGCTACTGTAGGGGTGCAACTCGGACGGATTAAGAGAGTTGAGAGGTTAACTTAGCCTAACTCTATAAGTATATAATTTTCAACTCTAACCCTAATCCTAACCTGATGTCAACCCAAGGTATTCAACCGAGTACTATCCGAGTTTAATTCGGGCGGACTCGAACTGAATTTGAGTTACTTAATTCGGATTAATTTTGAATTAAAAATTGAGTTTAACATAAGTACTTAATTAAGGTTGATAAAAGAGGGGGAGTGACGAGTGAGAAAGGGCGACCGAGAGTCTGAGATGTCTTAGATGAGTCACGATTGAGAGAGGGATGAGTGATGAGTGAAAAAGAGAAGCGGAGAGTCTGAGATGAGACTCAAAAAAGTGAGGGAAAAAGGCTGAGAGTCTGAGACTAGATGAAAGATGAGTGACAAGTGAGAGAAGGATCTGAGAGTGATGGAGGTGCAAGAGTGAAGACTTGAAGTGAAGTAAAGCTTGGACTCTGAAGAGTAAAGAAAAATACTAACCTTAGTTAAATATATTTATATATTATGTATATTTGGGTTCAACTAATATAATAATTGGGTTCAATTAATTTAATATTTTAATATTCGTGGATGAACCTAACAACCCAAGGCCTTAACCCGAGACTTGCTCGAATTCAATTCGGGTTGGAGTTTTTTTTCCAAGGTACAAACCCAAGTATTAAAAACGGGTTTGACACTTCAAGTTGCACCTTCTAGTATATGTTTGTTTGGAACCATTTTATATTCTAATAAGTATTATTTATGTGAATTATCCGCCGTACAACAACCAACGAATAGCTCATTGGGTTACAACTATGAAGATCTCCAATTCTCTCCAGAAAATTAGATGACCTATCTTTCCACCGAGATAGAGGTACATGTCTTGGATCGACAAAAAAACTCAAACAAACCTGAACGTTGTAAAAAAAAAAAAAAATATATCAAGTAAGAATTTTGTTTAAACCGATTTAGGTGATAGAAGAATGACTTGTAAACTCGTTTAATTAATGAGTTGACATAAACTTAGTTATTTATGATATGAATTCAAGTGAACAATTATAAATACGTTAGGTATGAAACAAAAATTTTTTCCACAGAAAATTATGTAGATTCAACAAATACAGGACCATTGTTCCATCTCTTCCTCTCCTCTCGTGGGTGAAGATGTCAAGCAGATTCTGCCCAACACCTCCCCCCCCCCCCCCCCCCCCCCCCCCCAAACTGATGGTGGAAGTGTTCAGCTTTTGCTAAAAGTAATGCATTACATAATCAAAAATTTTTAGAGAATGATTATGATATCAAAAAATCACGACTCAATTACTAAAAGTTACGATTCAATAAGATAAAATCATGTCTCGCTCATTTTAACTACTTTTGCAGTGATTTGACTCTAATCGGGTTGTAATTAATTTATATAATAAGTGAGTTAGGAGTTAGGATAGGTATTAGACCAATTTATCGTGTCAGGTGTTTGCAAGTTTGTTGTGTTGAAAAATATTTCATTCACTCGATTTATTTTTAATTCGTGTCTAATAAGTCGTGTCATATATGAATTATATATATAACTAATATATAAACGAATCGTATTATATATTTTTTTAATCGACTTTTTCATGTCAAAATTGTTTATTAATCGTATTGTGCTGGGTCCTCACATTTATGAAACAGGTGATTGATGACAATTCAAATTCTCTAATTTCTTATCGTATTAACCAATCGTATCATTTTTTAACACTCGTAATAAGTACCGAAACCTCATTAACATGAAAGTGATATTATTGTCTAAACTTTGAGAGGAAAAAAATCGAAATGGAAAAACTGTCAGAGTAAAATCTAAGAAACCCAACCCGTGTAGACAGAGAGCAGGGTGAGATCAGATAAATCTCTACGGCAGGAAACGCCAAACTCCCCCCTGGGAAACGCTTTCCTGGCAACAATGGAAAAGACAACATAGCTTGGAAAGTTTCCTAATTCATCCATTCTATAACCCGTTGTTCTTGTAATTAAGTCCTTCATATGTCCTTCCGTGCAATATAGTCTTTTCTGCACACCCTTGTGTGTCATATGCACAAAAAAGTAAGATTGAGGTGAGTTTATATTTAGTCTATTCGGAGTTGATTTTTTTTTTTTTACGGTAAAAATTGTGATTTGAAAATTTTTGTAAAAAAAATCAAGGTTAAAAATGTTTTCTAAAGCCGTTGAGGTGTTCCGTAAAAAGTTTGAAAAGTCTGTTTTAATTGATTTTCTTGTTTATTTGTCTTTTTGTGTCAAAATAAAAAAAAATAATTATATGTATGTATAGATTATATATAATAGTTTCAAAACTATGACAATTTAAATTTTTTTATGAATTTAATAATATTTTTTATAATCAATAATAATATTCTTGTAAATAATAATAAATAAAAAATATTGTGAGATTCGCGACAAAACTCCAAAAAATCGAAAGAAAAACTTATAAATTAATTTTTGAATCTGCCTAAATAAGTATTTTTGAGTTCAAAACACTGCTATATAAGTTAGTAAAAAAGATAAGGTCTAAACGGACTTGTTACTCCAAAACCTTAAAAATTACATATTTTAGCTAACTCCAAACAGATCCCATTATACTTTTCTTCAATTTTATTTAGTAATAAAATATTTATTATAATACAATTGAAAAATACTATTTATAAGCGGGTACCCTATTCAAACATGACGAATGATCAACTATTCAATATGGGAAAAGTTTATGGGAAAGTTTGGGCATTGCTTGAACTCCACATGTATATTTATATACAATCAGTCCTAAACCTTGATGGAAAAACAAAAAATTATATTAGATAGAAAGTTTAAGTGGTAATAGAGATGAGTCGTAAACTTAGATGTCCTGACTTCGAATTTTAGCAACCTCTTATGACTATGTCATAAGAAATTTATCTATCATAAATATTTTAATCTCGACGTGAATTACCTAAATCAGATAGAAAATTAGTCAAAATGCGCATAAACCAATTCAGACACCCAATTAATCCATTGGGTTTGAATCGTTAACTAATTGTTTCATTATATAGGCCCCGATTTGTAATAAAAGTCCTTCATTGCAAATAATATTTTATGCACATCTATGTGTAGAGGCACAAGAGAAGACACCTATAAGATTCCAATTTTCGTTCACCGATTTCCCCAATGAAACGGCTTGGCTTTCTTTCATCACACCCCCTCAAACTTACTCCTCTCTCTGTCTCTCCCTCTCCTACTCCTCTTCTTCTTCTCTCAGTCGACTCTTTCACCTTTTAGGTTCATGCAATGGGTATTGACAGTGGTTTCACAAACAAAATTTCAATGTCTCACCAGCACAAAAATGACCACAAAGACGAGCAAAAGCCTCTAATTTTTGATGCCTCTGTGCTTCGTCATGAACCCAACATACCAACCCAGTTCATATGGCCAGACCACGAGAAGCCTAGCGCCACAGCACCAGAACTTCCGGTACCTCTCGTCGACTTAGTAGGATTCCTCTCCGGAGACCCTGTGGCGGCACTTTGAAGCCTCGAGCCTCGTCGGGCGAGGCTTGTCGAAAGCACGGTTTCTTTCTGGTAGTCAATCATGGTGTTGACGCCGGTCTCATTTCCGATGCTCATCGGTATATAGACTCGTTCTTTGACCTGCCACTTTGTGAAAAGCAAAAAGCTCAGAGGAAGGCTGGTGAGCATTGTGGATATGCTAGTAGCTTCACTGGAAGGTTCTCCTCGAAGCTCCCGTGGAAGGAGACACTTTCTTTCAGATACTCTGCAGATGCGAACTCTTCCCATATTGTTGAAGAGTATTTGGGTAACACAATGGGTCAAGATTTCTTACAATTCGGGTACCAAAAACATTACCATTTCACTCATTTTTCTTACCCGGATCAAAATTTCGTTTTAGCATATAATCATAGTTAAATTAAAAAAATATATCGATCAAAACACCTTGAAACATAAAAGTAGTGATATTCAATCACTAACTTGTTCTGTTTTTTGCAAAAAAAAAAAAACAAGATCCTTTAGAAAAGGTAAAACTCTTTTTCGAGAGGACAATTTGCTTAGTTTTAGGTGGACATCAAAACATCTTGAAACATAAAACTAGTGATATTTAATCATTGATTAATTTGTTATGTTTTTCACAAAAAAAGAGACGTTTTGGTTGTTTTTTTTCTATTTTTGATGGTATCTAACATTTATTTTGTTTGCATATATAGGAGAGTTTACCAGCACTATTGCAATGCAATGAGTAGACTTTCTCTTGGGATCATGGAGCTATTGGGGATGAGCCTTGGTGTAAGCAGAGCCCACTTCAAGGAGTTTTTCGAAGAGAATGATTCGATAATGAGGCTCAACTACTATCCACCATGCCAGAAACCAGAACTCACACTAGGAACAGGGCCCCATTGTGATCCCACATCGTTAACAATCCTCCACCAAGACACTGTTGGTGGTCTTCAAGTGTTCGTGGACAATGAATGGAGGTCAATTGGTCCCAATTTCAACGCTTTTGTTGTTAACATAGGCGACACTTTCATGGTAAGGTTTTTTTTTCTTTTTTTCAACGATTTAGGATGTTTAATTTAGTTTATGTGTATTTTGATTAATTTCTTCTGTAATCTGGTTAAAGATAAGTCATTTACGTTAGATTTATGTAGGATATTTATGTAGGATAAATCCTTCGACTCTAAGGGGTTATAAAAATTTAAACTTAGATTATCTGAATTTACAATTTATCTTTATTAACACTTGAACTATTCTTTGAGGTTCTTTCATGATAAAATATATGTATATATCATATCATAAATATATTCAAACTTTTTATTATTAACTGACAATAAAAAGTTTAGGTATCATTTCGTAATGTTTTTTTTCAAAATATATTTTTACTTTTTTTACTTACTTTTTCTAAGTAGTGTCCATTTTTGTAATTTTTTTACCACTTTCATGGTAAGATAAATAATATTAAATATATATCCTAATATTATTTTGGGTAATAACTTAATTACCGTTTTGTACTTTTTTTTTTGTTTCAATTTTTCTTCGGTGTTTTAATTGCTTCTTTTGACCCTTCATCGGATTTGCTTTCTTTCTCTAACCTTAGTCACGTGATAATATGCACATAAAAAAGGGTATCATTAACATAATATGGTGTATTTATATTATTATACTTTTCTTTTTTTAAACGGTGAAGAGTGTTCTAGTCAACTTGCATGCATCACAACTAAGTTTTTCTCCCATCCGGATAAAAACAGACCATTTAAATCGTAATTAACATATTCATGAGAAATAAATCTCCACAACCAACCAAATATTAGTATACTTTTACTTATTTGGATGTAATGTTCATTAAACTTTGTGGGGTTTGTTTTTTCAGGCTCTTGCAAATGGAAGATACAAAAGTTGCCTGCACAGAGCTGTGGTAAACAATAGAACTCCTAGGAAGTCTCTTGCTTTCTTTTTGTGCCCAAAGAAGGATAAGGTGGTGAGCCCACCATCTGAATTGGTGGACACCAAGAACCCTAGAATATATCCAGACTTCACATGGCCGACCCTACTCGAGTTCACTCAGAAACATTACAGAGCCGACATGAATACCCTCCAAAGTTTCTCAAATTGGCTTCAACAGAAACCAGCTGAAGTCTTATAAGAACCTGCCGGCCAGTGCCCGATGACGACGACGACGACGACATTGAGAGGAGAGAGATAGAGAGAGAGGCAACTGGGGGAGGGAGGGAAGAGAGTGATGGGTATGAATTTGTACTATGTTAGGAGAGAGAGGCAACTGGGGAGGGACGGAAAGGAAGAGAGAGATGGGTATGAATTTGTACCATGTTTGGAGGAAGACAGATGCTTAATTGAAGGGAAGGCCACTTTTTACTCTCTTTTTTTCCCAGTATTTAGGAGGTAAGTGAAGATAGAAGAGATAGAAGGAAGAAATGAATAAAAAGCAATTTTCATAATTTCCACGCTTTTATCCTAGTCTTCCAATGGGTGCAGTTGGTTCCATCAAATAAAAGCTGTCTCGTAACACTATCTGGCTCCTTCTTTTCGAAAATTCATTAATAACTATCACCACAATTCATACTATCTGATAGGGTCAAAAATAAGTCAAACGAATTGAGGGTAGGGCATCCAATGTGTCAAAGAGGCCGCATCTGATATTAGTAGACCCGTGTTCCATTCCTATAGTTTTACGATATTGGATTACATGCACACGAGACAAATCAATATGACATGATCTAAATATGACATGATTGGACTCAAATTGACACCTACAATGATATTTGACTGTTTCCTAAAAGATTAAAATAAGAAAAAAATATCACAATATCTCACAAATGCTGGCAACAGAAAGGAAGAGGGTAGTTTTCTGTGCGAGTTATAATTTTATACCTAACCTTCATGCTGTATGTACTCTAAATATATCCTCAAAAGAAATAAGGGTAGCCTATAAACACAATATCATAATCAAATACATGATCGTAAACTTGTAAATGAGTTTGAATTTCAAAGCCACATAAAACACGGGTTTAACAGCAAGTGAGTTGGAAATGATTGTATGCATCATAAATTTATGTCAAATCATAGCCACGCGTTTGAAGGATGCATAATTCACTTTTTGAAGTTTTTGGAATCTACTGTGGATTGAATTGAGATTTATGCTCCAAAATACTTCCACCAAGAAAATATAAAAATATGGGCCCCCCACCTGTTGAATAATATCATAAGAATAGGAACTAGAATCCATTGAGGATTGCCAGGGCTTTCATTGTAAATGATTCTTGTGCCAGTGCTTTTGGTTTTATTCTTGGCATTAGATTATAGTATGCCAAGAAACACATACGACATTGTCCTGTGTTTGTCCTTAAATGCTGCAACATTCTTCCTATGATATATTATATCACCTCATACACAAATTTGAAAATGTGGTGTGGTTTTTTTTCGTTCAATTTCTGACGTAATTGTGAGCTCACCCCCATGTCCTTATTCTAACATAGTTAACTCGGCGAAGATTCGACTCAAGTGAGGTAGCTATACTTAAGTCAGATGCCAAAGCCAAATTGATGATTAGTCTAATGTAGGAATTCTCAACAAAACAAGGTTAAAGTTTACAAATAAGTTTAGTATGAGGACAGTAAGGCCTGCCTATTTGTTGCTAGGTACTAGCAACTAGTAATCGAGCCCTTGTAGCTGCATGAGTTTTTCTAATTAAAGAAAGCCAAGTTGATGACTTTTTAAATGTAGGAATTCTCAAAATTAGCTCAAGTGACAACAAGGACAAATTATAAATTTAAACATTCTAAATTCGAATTTTGACAATCTCTTGAAGACAGACCATGATTCCCTAGTTTTGGGTGAATGATTTACTTTTGACTAGATTAGAAAGGGGATTAATCGAGGTACGTATAAACTGACTTGGACATTCTTAAATGTTAAACAAAAAAAAAATGTAAGAATTCTCAACAAATCGAGTTTAAAGGTTGCAGACCAATAGGAGGACACTAAGGCCTACAAGGCACTAGGGACTAATTTCAAAGTCCTTATAGTTTCAATATTAAAAGTCATCTTAATATTGAAACTTGTTGTTCTGACGATTGCACCAAATTAGGTCAATAGGTTAAATCCAACTAACATTTATGTCTATAAAATCTTGAGAGAATCTAGAATAACCAATTACATTATGCTCAATTGGTTAGCTAGAGCGTTGAATTGTCAAACAAGTCCCACGTCGATTGATGTTGAGGGGGTATTAGGCCATATAAGCGAGCTAGTCAATCCACCTATTAGGTGTATCTTTTGGATTGAAAATTCATGCTCAATAACTGGTATCAGAATCATGACCCAAATTATCGTGTGAATTAACTCTTTGTACCGAATAACATAACAATGATGATCATTCATTATGAGCCTCATTCAAAAGAGAATAATTGAGGTATCAAACAAATTCCACGTAAGTTAATAATAAGAGTTCTTAGACCATATAAGAGATCAAATCACTCTACTACCGACTGCACCAATAAAACTAAAAAACTCATGGGCAACAAGAGTCGGTTCTATGGGATGGGATGCGGTTAATGGTGAGCCAACTCGGAAGGGAGTACGGAACAGGGGAACCAAACATCCGCCACAGGTAAAGGACAAAGATTAGTCCCTTTCCCGTACTCAATTCAAAAAGGCCCGCTTCACGTGGCAACATTTGTTCTTTGTTTTAGCTTTTTATCTCTCTTTTCTCTCTCTACCTTCCCAACTTAAACGTATCTGTCTATGTTTTTTTTTTCTCTATGATATATAAAACGACACTTGTTAGGATTGTGACATTGATTTCACCTGTCCTGCACTCTCTCCTTCATCTGCTACCACTCCTTTGTTTTGGCTCTTGTCATTCCTACCATTGCAACCTCTCATTCAAAATTTGATTGTAATGACTGTTACGTAATCATATCAATACTTCTAATGCGGGACAGCTTGAATGGGAAACAAGATTAAACAATAGAAAGAAGTTTCAATCTTGGGATTATCACAATAATATCAGATTAAAAGTCATCAATACTCTTGTTAATTCACGAATAATACCAAATTAATTAAAAGAAAGAGAATTCGTCTTTCAGTTTATTTCAAAATAATCCAAAGCTACTGAATTGAGTTTTTCAACACAATATAAATATGAAACCCTAATGATCCTAAATGACTAGAAAATCTAAGTAAATAAGTAACAATACGAAAATATTCCAAGCAACAGTATAAAATAAAAAAGTGCATAAAAAGTGATCTAAACGCCTTTTTTAACTTAAAAATGACAGGTTGAAAAATATATTTCAATCTTGCTCAGATCGTCTAAAAGTTTTTTGAAATGGAGTTTTTCGAATTTTTCTAGACACTGTCGTCCAATCAATGCCGCTTTCAACGGTCTTACTCTGTCATGTACGTGCTGCATCAACTTCTCGATACTGATACATTCTGTTTATCGGTATGAATAGAAATCACAAGTGTAATGGCATTACATTCGATAAATGGTCTAACTTGGGTGATTTTGGGAAACATCCAAAAGTCCCACTCTCACTTTTCGAATCTTCTTCAAATCAAAACAAAAAAAAAAATCAACATTCAATTAATATATCATCATCACTATGGATTATTCCTAGTTTAGATCAGAGACAGCATAGCAAAGCAAATGGGCAATTACTAAAACCTATCATGCTCCAAACCCTAAAGTTTTATAATTTGCTAGTCTGGATTTTATAATAGGAACCCATCACCAAAATGATCAATGGATGGTTGATCTTGGTGTAAACAGATAGAGGGTGATCCATGGGAGTATAGGGTTATACCTCAACCTATTTTGATATTATTTTCTTTGTTTCAACTTCTCCTGTATTTGTGGGTGTGACACAACTTATAACAAATCTTTTGCCCAACTGTGACTAAAATTTGGATTTAGATTTCTTTCGGTATTTTCCATAATGTCAGCCGCTTGTCATGAATTGAAGTCGGAGCCACCTTATATAAGTGTGGTTTGCGATCAATACACGATAAATAATTTACAATTTAAAAAAAAAAAATATCGGAGGAGATCTTAATATCTCAACAACACGACAACACGACATTTTGCCAACCTTAAACAGGAAAGCAAATTAGAATCTCCACAAAACTACTATAAATGAACTCTAAGTAATTAGGGTTAGCTGTCATCTCTCGTGCCAAAGAGCATCCAATGCATACTGTCCACCATTACCTTAATTACTTTTTAATCTGATGAAACAGATAGCCTAGCTATACTATGTTGGGTTCTAGCTAATTGGTCATAGCACAGCAATTAATAAGCAACACTCAACAGCTGTAGAGGATTTTTTGGGCATGGGAGATTTTGTTCCTTCATGGGGCCAATGCACATGAAGGGTCTGGCCCCCTATATGCTTGATTTGCTTCTTTTATACAAGGAAACATTGTCTTATTCTGTTGAAAAGATCAGGACAAATATTTCTTGTTTGTAGTAATAATTGTGAGAATATTAAACAAAACGATAGCTATGTAACAATTATAAATATATATTTTTTTAACGGTAAAAGTTGTCTGAATCAATTTACACGCATTTTGACTAATCTTTTTTCCGGTTTAGTCAAAGACAGATCATCCATGCAAGAACTAGGGGTATTCGAAATTTGTACGTCTGAATTTATAACTCGTTCTTATTACCATTTGAGATACCCTTAGTATAAAAAAAATAAAAGACAACAAATCTATATTCAAATAGCCTACTCTATGTTAAAAAAAAAAAAAAGGCATCCTCTTAATGTATTATTCACTTAAAAAACGACACAAACAAATCTATCCCTTCACCTACTTTGATTTTTTTTTTATTTCTTTCATATTTTGGTGGCTCTATCTATTGCTATAGCTGTTGGGTCTTAACCCATTTGATATGTTTGCCGCTTCAATTAAAGCATGGAATTCTAACCCGTAAGAGTATTCCAGTACCAGTAGTTTTAGGTTGACTATGGGACAAGTCGAAAACATGGATTTGACACTTTTTGGTGACTCTTGTTCTTACTCTCGTGATTAGTAGATAATTACCCGATTCTCGTGATTACTAGATGATTACCCGATTCTTGTGATTAGTAGATGATTGCAAGTATGTGGCTTATAAGT